TCTCTTCCTGATTGCTATTGCTCTGTCCAGACCGGTTTATCTGTTAATGTTCGAGAATCAAGATGGTGGACGATTACGTAACGATCGTGGAATACGGCAATGACGACTGGAAAGAAGATGAATTTCTCGAGTCATTCTTGAAGATACCGGATCAATAAAAAATTCCATGTCAATTACTAAATAGTGAAGTATCCTATATTATTTATAAAAATGTTTGGAATGTCTTCTGTAACAAGTAATCTAGTCCATCAGCATTAAGGATTCCAGGATTGCCGAATGATAGACAAAGCTGTCAATTTCACGACCTTTAAGAACTCAAGATCGATCGGTGTGATTCAATTTGACGGCCAAGTGCTTTCGATGGTCTTAAATCAAACGAAACTGATTCACAAGGATCTCAAGCGTGTTACGATATCGAGGAAACGGGTAAATGAAAATGATAGGCCGGTTTAGAGGATCGCTGTCGGCGGAGGGGAAAGTACATTTCCAGGCGAGGAGCCACAATCAATCCGATGCGGCTGCTCGATTAGATATCAATCCCGATTCGTTCGTGACGTTGATTGCCGAGGCTCGATAAATACGACAATAATGAATCTTTCGAGGGCGCGTTTATCTGCGGATACGAATCACGATAGGGCGCGAATCAATCGTCTCGAACGTGATGCGCGGGGATCACGCGTCCGGATTACGGACGGTTACTGGATACCGGAAACGATTGTCTCTGTGAATCGACGGCCAATTAAAAAATACTGCGAACGACGTTCGTTAAAAAGTCATCGATGGAATCGTGGTAGAAATTAGCGAGCAATGGCTCCATTCGGGATATTCGATAAATTAAATAATTGCGAAAAATTTAGCTGGATGAAACTGATTCTCGACCATCAGTCTTTAATTTCTTAATGCATATATACCAGCTCTATTTGTTATGGTATATTCTGTGAGTGTAAGGAAAAACAGAGCAGGTCACAATTCCAAAATATTTGAGTTTACGCGTTAATTGAGTTGTAGAATATAGAAACTGTGTGTTTATCCGAAAAAATACATAGAAACAAATTTAAACTTAAACTTAATTTTAAACAAATTTAAATTTAAACAAATTTTACTAAAATTAATCCCTACTAATATACTGTATACCCCTTATTATACAAACTTCGGCCACTGGCACGGAATAGCTGCCACTCTAAATGGTTCAATTGAATAATAAACACTAGATTATCAGAAGCACTGTCAGAACAGCTATCTCCGATAATTACTCTCCATTGATCCTCGTCCCAAGGCAACAAAGTCTCCCAACATCTACATACAGACTATCCACGCTTCAATACCACAATGACTTTTCAGAGTATTCGCTCCATTAGTCAACAAAGACCTCATCCATCGATTCCAATCGCAAACGCAACCGAACAGAAAATCCGCCCGAGTGATCCCCAGTCGCGTTTCGAATTCGTCTCCGCCGGCATCCGACCTTCTTTTACAGAAAGCTGCGAAAGAACGCGTAAAACGGGTAGGGAAGGGCCTAGTACGATAGGAGATCGCGAGTGGAGGTGTACATAACGGGACAAACGTAGGTGCACGAAGGTCGAGGGAAACCGGTTGCTCGACGAAAGAATGGCGCGACAGGATTGTATTGGATCGAGTGGGCGAGGGTACACAGAGAAGGAGGAAGAAGGGGGTGGAGCTCGAAGCACGACGAGATATACAAGGGGTGTAGGGAAAGCGAACGATATCCATTCTCATGCCTCCGTGGGGAGTGGATGTTGTGCGAACGAACCGCAGAGAAGACGCGAATACCAATGCACACTGGGGTGGGGTACGTACAGTGAGAGTCAAAATTAAGTACACACCTTACAAAGGTGAAGGTTCGAATAATACTTCTGTAGCATTATTGTAAGATCATGGCAGTAATACAGGTGAATATGGTTTTTTTAACATTGTCGGAATTAATAGGCAGCCATTTCGAGAAAAAGAAATTCGAAGCTGTAACCAGAAAATTTTGGAAATCTTCTTTTTTGAGATATCTTAAAATTCTACATTAAAACGTTTTTTGATACAACTAATAGGTAATGATTCATTTTAGGTAGTATTTCTTATTAACTTATCCCGTATAATAGAGCATCTATGTGAAATATTAGATTCGAAATTTACAGAAATAATCCAGAATAAATGAATAAATCCTGTACATCCAAAGTGTATACTCACTTTTGATTCTCACTGTAGCTTCTGGATAAAAAGGAGTCTGCGAGCGTGTTACGCGCGCGTACACCAGCTTACATTCGCGGCTGTGTACAAGGGAGAGGGGCGAGGTGTTTCGCCCCGATGTTACCCACGTTCTCTACGTGGCCCACGTAGATTTACACCGGTTTTATTGCCGTCACAGCGGCATACTTCGTTTTACGAATACGCGAGGCGTCGCGCACGGATTTTCGCCGCGCGATGGAATTTTCGTTATTTCCACGAAGAAGCCGCTCGCTTCATCCCCCCCGGGCGGGGTTGTTCCGGGAACGTCACCGTCATTGGAAAACCGAGAATGCATTATCCATATATAACATCGGGACCCTGGTGCTGTATAGTTCGTCATTTCGTTTTATCCGTACTTCGTGGTTAAGCATTGCGTATCGCCACAAGATAATGCGAGGTCGTTGATTGGCGAATGAAAACCACGGTATAACGCGACTCCGTGACTGAACCGCGGGATGGAGGATATACCAAGAAGTAAGCCAGATCGGGGGTGATAAACCGGCCGTGGGTCGTTTTTGCTTCGCGGGGAAAACTTTATACGGTCGTAAAAATCACCGCGATGAAGAGCCGCAATGAGCTTGGGTGGTAATACGCGGGAGAGGGAGGCGGAATTGTTATTAAGTGTACGATATCTTAAGGTGGAATTTTTTATACGCGTAAGATGCTACGCACGTCGCAGATAATGGGGTGAAAGAGGAATCAAATATTGGAAAATCCCACGTTTAGCGGGAATGTCTGATGTATGAAGGATACGTTCTACTGATCATTCTTGCATTAGGTAGATTTTTTTAGGTAGGTTACTGCTTCTTACATTAGTAACCAATTAACCCTAAGAACATATTGATTCTACTTGTAAATAACTGGTCCTATTTTTAATTAAACGTCTGACCAATATGTGTTTTACTACTGCGGTGACAAATTGAAGCTACTCAATTGAATATTCAGTGTCGTTCTACTGGCTGATATATGCAGTGTTATTCTACTCGCTGATATATTGAGTATTATTCTACTGGCTGTAATATTCAGTCTCATTCTACTGGCTGTAATATTCAGTGCCATTCTACTGGCTGATATATTCAGGATTATTCCACTGGCTGATATATTCAGTATTATTCTACTGGCTGCTTTCTTCAGTATCATTCTACTGACAAAATCATCCCAACACACACGTAAACTCGTTTACTGAAATAAAACCATATTTTCCATACCACAGTCGTAATTACCAACATAAATCCCTTCATATACCCCCTGTACACGAAATAACGACACATGCTATCCAACCTATGCAAGTTCAAACTACTTGCTAGTTCATTTCAAAAACCATATCAAACATTTTCAACATAAACGTCACGGAGACACAACAAAACGGCTAATCTCCGCCGCAAACTTCGTCAGCAGTGGACAAGATTAAAGTCAATTTCCGATTCTCTCAAATTACCACTCGACCGGCCATGAAGAGAAAAGCACCAGGTTTAGTTTGGCGCTTCCAGCCAGGGCGCAACCGTTCACCGCGGTGTTCACCGTAAATCGTTAACGGGTCCCCGGAAAGTACAGTTTGAAACACGAATTACCCTTTACACCACGGGGCACCAACCCGGAGAACGACACGACGGCGCGTCCTCGATATGCAAACGTTCGATTAGACGGCACGAGATGTATCAAGTTTAAATTGAATAATGCTTGTTCCCGGGAAAATGAGCCTCCGCCGTACGATAACGGGGGCAATGATAATATGTAATTCAATTAATGTTCCCCGTTGCCGCGGGATTTGCTCGCGTCGGAGTTTTCGTACTCCCAAACTACCACCACTCCCCGTGGTACCTGCCCCTATTCAGTGTCCCTCCGACATACACACCTACGATTCTCACGGACAAGGACTCCCGCGACATCGCCCTCTGTGTACCGTGCAAATATACATTTTTTTCATTTCGCTGCGCTGTAGTGTCCCTCCGACATACACACCTATGATTCTCACGGACAAGGACTCCCGCGACATCGCCCTCTATGTACCGTGCAAATATACATTTTTTTCATTTCGCTGCGCTCTAATATCGCCCGGCCAGGTTCTCATTTATTCGAACATTATGGCCACCGGCGCGTAAAAAACCGAGGGGCGAGTAATTAAAATAAGCTGTTCGCGAGATATAACCCGTTTCGACCGGCTCTAATTCGATTCCCTTCCGCTCGGTTTCGAGCAGAGCGCCGATAACAACGGACACGGGGATAGCTGCCACAGGTGTGGAAATTAAGGAATCAGAGGATAATTGGTTGCACGGAATCGACGATTTTTTACACACGATGATTCAACGTATATCGATTACACGCTTTGCATTTCATCGAAGTATTCGTGACATCTGGGAATAGAGATAGGATCGCATAGGATTCCTGCTCGCGAGAGTAACTAAATTCTAGATCAAGTATTCGTCGGGGTTCTCATTGACATCCAAAACGAAGGAAAATATGAATGTACGTGTACACGAAAGTTGCTCAAAATTTTTCCTTAACCCTCGTACACTGTTCAATAACCTATTACGCTACTGTTCCTGGAATTAAATTGGGCCTGAGTTAAAATTGAATTAAAGAAGTATATTTACTTGTCGTTAGATTGTAATGTCCGTAAGCTGTCAAATTCGCCCAAAAATTTCAGTAATTAAAAATATAATTAAGAATCAAATATTGGCTTTGAGTAAAATTGTCTCCGACAAGTTCCAAAGACCAGCCCTTCTATACTCCCTGACAGGACAACATATACAAAGACATACTTGTGTATTTCTGGTGTAACCGTAGCCCATGAATCTCTCATCGTGAGGAGGCACGATATCCTTCGCGACGTAAAAGGGCTCATATAGAAACTCAAAGTTCGTCACGTCGTGACTAATGTAGACCTTACCAGTCTTCACATTCCCATAATTCTTGTGATTCGGAGAAGTATCAAGAATCCACCTAGAATTAAACAATAAAAAGACGAAACTATGAACCATGTCCAAAGCAAACAGCTTTACCACCCATTCCATCCGAATCAGACCCAAGAAAAAGTTATCCTCACCTAGTAAAATTGGTGGCGAACTGATTGTGTATAAAGACCTTCTGGTGAAACGGCCTGGCGAGGCCCTTCCTCGCCAGCCTGATCAATTCCGTCTTGTTCTGGGGGAATCGGACGCGCGAATCCAGCTCGTACGTCGGTATCACGTAGGCGCACTTATCACAGCTATCGGTCTTGAGGAAATCGTCCAGAGCACCGGTCAGATTGAAGCTCGGCACGATGTCGACGTCCGTCAGGAACACATAGTCCGACTGACAATTCTTTCTTGCGAGATTCCTCATGTGGTTCTGGGGATAAACATTCCTGATCCGCCAGTTCGTCTGCTCGCTCGAGATCCCATTCATTAGGTCGTTCAACGTCGCCTCCGGTTTGGCACAATCCACCGCGTCAGGTAGCCCGTAATCGCGCGGTTGCTTCTTGGGTGGCCTAACCCTCGGCACCGCCAGCGAGAACGCAACTCTCTCCCGAATCGGTTCGTAACAGTTCCGAAGGTAGACCAGGTACTTTTGAAGAACTTCGAACTCTTCGTCGCCAGCTGCGTACAGAGCCACTGAGATTGATCCGGTCCAATGGTGGGCAGCCTGCACGACCGAGTGCAGCTTCTCCACTGAGCTCTGCATGGCCAGACAGACCCGATACGCCTGCGACAGCTCGACGAAGCTCGACCCGACCAAAACGTGGTCGAAGGTACGGAACAATTTACGGGCGTCCCACCTGCCCAGCTTTATGTTCAACTTCAATCTATGCCCGTCAACTGGCAACGTATGGTAATCCCGCGTCGCGCAATCCGACTGCAGCTGCAGCTGCTGCTCTTTGATAAAGGTGCCCAGGTTCCACTCGGTGATCGGGTTCACCTCCAGGTCCCTGGGCACATCCTCTGGGATACAGGTCTCCGACTGCAGCAACAGGAATGTCAACAGCATGTTCGACAACGCCAGAACAACCACGCTGGTCAGACTGAGGTTCCATGGTCGGCATCCCAACTGAGGACAAAAAGGGGCGCGACAGATCAAAATGTGTGGGGTATTGACACTATGTATAACGACTCCTACATACATAGATGTGATGATTTACTGTATAGTAACTGTTAATCTTAGATGTGATGATTTACTGTATAGTAACTGTTAATCTTAGATGTGATGATTTACTGTATAGTAACTGTTAATCTTAGATGTGATGATTTACTGTATAGTAACTGTTAATCTTAGATGTGATGATTTACTGTATAGTAACTGTTAAGTACAAAATTCCGTTCTTTTGATGTGGATAATTATGAGTACGCTGGAATTCCTCTTATCCACAATTATTCGTGGGAAATAGGGATCTGGTGATTTAAGGTGGTCATACTAAGGACTTGCTAATGATTCTCAGTTCACGTATCATTTAAATAGAATGAAATTAAACGTCCTGTAAAACACGACTGGAACTTTGAAACTTTGTATCAGAGTTCCCCGGGCAAAAATCACGCCGCAGAGCAAGTTCGCTGTAAAACACGGTGTAAACAAGTTTCACGATAAGAAACCGAGTCCCCGGTAACGGCGTATTAGATCTGTCTAAAACAGAGCGAGGCTGCTTGTTTTATCGAGCTAATTACCCCGTCGTCAGTTTCTTGCCATCACCAGCAATGCAAAAATGAGCGACCGAACTTCGTTGAGCTACGAGGGTATGCTACAGTCAGAGCCTAGATGTTCCTTTCTTCTTTGCAAATTATCAAACTTTATTTTTCCCAGGGCTGCGGTCGGTGAATACTCGAAAGGAACAAATTGGAAATACGAGAAGAATTTTAAAAGTTCTGTACACCGAGTATTTTATATTATCTCCTTATAAGTTCATCCCCATTCCCTGCCTCCTGGAGTTAATTAATAGTATGTCCGGCTTTAATTTTCTCGAGAAACAAAATAGTGGAAGAAAACAAAACAAAGATCAATTATTGAAATTCTTATTGCTTCTGTATATATTCTATTAATTATGGAATAACGAAATTAATTAAAATGAAAAGTACAACGAAATAAATATTACGAATACTCCAAGGACTTAACTGAAAAAGTTGCTGGCCGTATTCCGTTTAAGTGCCGGTAATAAAAATATTACATCTCAGTGGATGATATAATACGGGGCAAGACTTCTATAAAATTGTATTTCAGGGAACGGAAACAGTAAAACAGCACACGTATAAGCCCACAGGGGTCGACGGGTTTAATGAAGTTCTACTATGTAAATAGTGCTTCTTCCCCTGCACGGTAAAACTTCATTAGACTTTCTGTCCCGGTGGATTCTACCTTTACCACTATCAGCGAAAAGGCGCAATATAAACGTTTAATACCGGCGAACTGCACTTTATATGTACTATATATATATTGTATTTATGTAAATAACAAATTCACGTAAAAAGGAATTACATGACATGTATTAATGAATCATAAAGTATTTCACCCATTATATAGGCAACATATGGGACGACAAAATTGGTAAAAATTGTCCAAGTCAAGTAACACATGTCCTTGTTACAAAATATGTACTCGATTGAAAATCATATTACAAAGTACACGACCCTTTAACTCCAATTACAGAACCAAGTCTATTTTCATTAAGCTTACATAAATACTCGATCAATGTGAAATAAAAAAAAATTACATTCCTGAAGCGTTTACAATATCCCGCAATTTGTACTATTTCCAACTGGAATACTTTCTTGTACCTGTGTAAAAAATAACTACTTCGACAAATATTATCCTATCTACCGATCTCGTATTTTCGTTTCATTTCACCGTCTTCGCCTTCGTTTTCTTCGTTCAAGTAACCGAAGACGTCCAGTTACCACCAGCGGCCCCAGAACACGACATTCCCCCCGTTTAAATTCATGCTTATCTTAATTATAGTCGCAACACCTAACCGCGAAGTGGACTCCGCACGGATGGTTTATTTAAACGCGTACTTCGTATCGCCTCGATTCTGGAAGCCATTTTTTATTCCCTGATGCGGACGGGTATGGATGTAATAGCTTCGACGATCCATTGAAAAAAGGGTTCGCAACCGTGTAAGTGGCTCAAGAGATAAGAGGGGAAGAGGGGAGGGGCGCAACGACGGACCACGACACTCGCAATAATAGCGCAATTACGGTGCTAAACGGAAGAAACAGATTGTAGGTATTGTAGAGCAGCCACCAAAGTGCACGGGAGAACTCCCTGGGCGGAATCCCGGTGAAATTTCGCGTGGAAACAGCGGCGTCTAGAACGATAATGGATCGTACGACTTTCCCAGAACCACCGTTAAAATCGAGCTTATGCAGAAGCCACAATGCCCGGCACGGGCCGAGTGTTTAATGAACAAAATAGTTCCCACCATCGGGAAGATAATCGCCATGTACGACAACAATGTTCCTCTATCGGAACCAAACAATAAGTCAGATAAATATCTTTCATGATATTACAGGATTTGATCTTTCTTTTTTATTGTATGTGAATTTTATCTCCTAGTATGATTACGCATAAAAGTTATAAACGTCGTAATAAAAGTTACAAAGGTCTGAGAAAATGGATTGTTATAACATTTTAATAATAATTAATAACAGTTCCTTGGCTGTTGATAGTTTGTTCTATTGAACCTATTAAATAGCAACCGGTAGATAATCTGTAAAATCCTATTGTCCCTATTCGAATTGTATGTTAGGAATAAGAAAAAACTACAACAAAACATCTTCGGCTCTTTCTTGTCCATAAGTATTTATAACGAAAGGGTTAACGATCAGAAGTGGCCGAGTTGAATTCTTAGGAGTAGCTAAACAACAACGTCGAGTATACATATACACACGTTTCACCGGAGGATGGTGAGCGGGGAGGCTCGAGTGTGGCCGGGGGTGCATTACTTCAGCATAGCTGAAGTCTCGCGGCGGCCTCGGTGCACGGTCCCACGGTGAAGAAAAAAAAAAAGGAATATGGAGTGGTTCGCGGTGCGCGTCCGTTGCAGCCGGGATTTTTACAAGCCCGAAACTAACCTCCCGTGGAACGGTGGTGCGCTGTGCTGTGAAACGCGAGAAAAATTCCTGTCGACCCTCGTGCCGCGGCTGGAGCCCTCGAGGGCCGTTTCCGTCGCGTTTACGCAGACGTATTAACTTATTCTGACGCGACGCGGAAAAAAGAGGGCGCAAGACAGGACGAAGAAAGGATGGTGGGGGGTGGGTGGCAGACGTCTCCATATTTAGCTTAGGGTATTTATTTGCATATACTGTTTGCAGGATGTTCATTTGCATACTATTAACCGTGACGAACCCCCGGCGAGGCTGGGTGCATGCATAAGGACCCACGTGTACGCAACTTCGTGGGGAGCATCGTAGTTTTGAAAAGAATACGACGTCAAATTAATTAATATCCACGGGGGACGCGGAGACTGCGCAGAGTTGGGCAGAATTTTATTCGAATAATACACAGTGAAAAGCAGCAGTATGTAAGGGCGTCGTCCTGAGCTTTAAACAGTTAATGAGATTAAATAATTGTTCGAGAAATGTCGATTCATTCATAAAGAAGTATTATTTTATTATACAAATTGAGGAGGATGATCTTGATAACCTATGTGAAGATCAGGGTCATCGGGTGTGGGTGCTTTTCGGAATTTTATCCCTCAAATTTAATACGCATTCATCTGTTCAAAAAACCAATAATTAAAGGTTCAAAATATTAGACCACACTGAGTCCATCTAAACCACAGCCTATTTCCTCCTAAGCTCCTAAAACATCATTAGCAATTGATAAAGCAAACTGGGTCGTTCAAACGCATTAGCGGCACGGCGCTGTTCTACAACAATGTTGCAAAGTCACAAAGACCCGTGGAATGTTTCAGGCTCAAACAGATCTCCAAACGTCGAATGTCGACCGTGCTTTAACAAAGGCAAACATCCTGAACGAAGGCGGCTGTGCGCCATAGGTCGAAGGGATAATGCCACATCCGCCCTCGATCTTCTCCGTGCGGTAAACACGACGTCGTAACGAGACAGAGGAGGTGGGGGACAGAAAGAAGCAGGAGAAAGAGCATGATTGATTATGCAAACACGTTGTTATTACTGATTCAGCGTGTCCCCGTGGCCCTAGCTCGTGTACCACCGTTGGGCGACTGTGTGCACGCTACACAGCTAACCCATTATCAAATTGTGTACTTGGGCTTTCGTTGGGTCGCGCACGAACCGCAACGGCGGGGCTTTGCCGACGTTGAATGTACGATGTCGGACGAAAGCTTGAAAGCGGGACTCGCTCGCCCCATAGGGTATATACCTGTGTGTCGCCCTTCCCCCTATCCTTCCTGTAATCGCGATTTCACTGTGCGACGAAACGATACGCGGGGAATCACGTTCAACTAAACCGGTCCTGTTGTCACGCGTCATCGTGTCGAATGAGTTTCCAGGGAACACCGTGATCACGCGTCAGAATTCGATCTCGTGTTCTCGAATGAGTGACAAGAACATCTGTACCGTGGAATATCGAAAGTGTCAAGTGAAAATGGAAACGGTTTCCCCTGTCCTCTGTTTTTATGGGAGAACGAAATTAAAGACATCGAGAATGGGTGCTAGTCTGACTTAAAATAATTATAAAAGTATACTCGAGGGTAATAACATTAATACTCTTATGAGAAAGGACACCCTTCTACATCCACACCTTGACTGTACACCTTTCGATTTGACCATAGCTATGTCATCAGCAGACTATCCACGAGACGCAGTTCGTAAGGTTACCCCTTGAAAAAGGGGTTCTCAAAGGTGCTGAATAGTTGATGTACACATCGAGTTTTTTTTCACCCAACGGGGTTCTCTCGATTCGCTCGTTAAGACACGGAGGTTAGGGGTGGCAGAGGGTGTGTACACCGTGTGGATCGAGCGAAAAGGGAGAGACGAAGGAAACAGAAGGACGGGGGTTAAAGGAACGGTCCTAGGCTGGAAAGAGAGGTGGCAGACGGCTCGAAAGATCGGGAGCTGGGATAAAGGGTAAATTCCGCC